GTGAACTTATTTGAAACCTAGAGTATGCTTCTTTAGATGCTGTCAATTTTTTTAAAATCCAGACTTGTTTCTTTTAATTAACAGTTTGATTTTTAAACAAATGTTTTAGGAAAGTTGGTACCCGGTGGATCTGAGCCTATAAATCGTACTGCTTCTCGTGCACAAAGGTCAGTTAAGTTGCATTGCATAAAATGTGGGGTTTTTTTTTCCTCAGTTCTCAACATTTCTGGGAAGGTACTCGCATGGTAAAATATATGAGCAGTCCGTAGTTATTTCTGCCATTTGCAGTGATAATGTTTAGGCATTGCAATCATGGGAGCTGCTGGCAAACATAATAGTGATCACTAAATTCACACATTATACTTTTTCACTTGAGTGGTTTGGACTGTTTTCTATATTGTTCCTTAGTAGCCTTTGAAATTTTAGCTTATAGCAACTGATAGGGAGTAGAAACATTCTTGCAGCTGTTACTTTCCATTTGTTCAAAGATTTTCGTTTTAAAAATAGTGTCAAACATGTATTTTAACATGAATGTTTAAATGAGGGTTCAGAAACTTTATTGGGTAGTTAAATTAAAGTGGGTATCTCTTCTCCCTATTAGTTGCCTCCAGGGCCTTGTTCTTTAGAAGAAAAACGTTTCTGGGATTTGGACTAGGAAGCACCTCTAGAGCTTAGCCTTCCTTTGCAATGAAACGGTCCTAAGTTTTTCAGGCCTGAGGTGGTTTTGTGTATATTCAGCAAATTTTACATGTTTTGTGAAGGGTAAAGTTCACAACAGGAAAACCTTTAAAATTAATTCTGTACTTTTTAATTTATTTATTTTTACCTGCATGGAGGGTGTTCTGCTTCTCTTCACCCTTTTGTTATTTCAGTAAAGCAAAAGTTGAGCTATTCAAGATTTTAAAACTGAAGGTGGGGGTGTCCCCTTAAACCAACTTGTTTGGTACTCTTTGCTACTAACGTGGCTGAGTTTATAGCCTTCAGCAATAGCTTTTAAAAATATACCAAAATAATTGAAAACAGAAATTTCATAACAGGATTGTCAGATAATCCCTGCCCTTTTCCCCCATTCAGAAATGCCAACTCAGACAAGAATGTTTGTGCAGAATTGAAAAAGAAGCTGGAGACAGTTGCTCTCGACACCCTAAGTTCCGCTTCCAAACAGAATGAAAGCCATAGGAGAGTGCTTTGCTTTGACAACACTCTGGCTGCTCCAGCAGGAAGTATTCCAGCATCACAGAAAGAAAGGAGTGAAAACCCTTTATGCTCTGGGAATTCTCCCAGCGCTGTGCTTTCAACTGCTAAAACTCAGTCCTGCAAGAGGGAACGAGAGAGAACTTTGCCTAGGATTTTATGTAAGCCTGATATTACTAGCAGAAACTTAACTGCAAAGGACACCCAATCTGAGAAGAGACATTCAGGTCCAGGATTGGCATCGGATGTGTTAAGAAAACAGACTGCAAATAAAGAGAACGAATTGGAAAGGACTGTTGACAAACCCCCCAAAAGCCAGGAGGTGGCGACTCTCTCAAACGGCCAACAGAACGTTAGCCTTCATAATGAGAAGAACAGCTCCTCTGCTCAGGAACTGACTAAAAAGCAGGGGCTGCAGCCAAATGCAAATTGCAAAATTTCAGCAGCTTTACCTTCAAAGGAGCCAAAAAAAGACCAGAACAGGTCTGCCAACCAAGCCCATTGTTTGACCAGTCCATTAACTAAACAAGCTGTGGAAATGCTGCATGACATCCAGAGGCAAAGCCCCGCTAGTAAACTTCCTGAAAATGTGGATTTGCCAGTACCACGCACACCTTCAGGAACTGGCGATAGACACTCTGAGGATACCTTTGATATAATAAGGACGCCCACGTGTAGACGGTATAGTGAAGACAGTACAACACCAAGGATCATGGTCCCTCCAGCTACTCCTGACTTGCCAGCCTGTAGCCCAGCTAGTGAAACCGGCAGTGAAAACAGTGTTAGTATGGCTGCCCACACTTTAATGATACTTTCACGAGCAGCCATTGCAAGGACTAGTACCACTACACCTCTTAAAGACAATACGCAACAGTTTAGGTCTTTGAGAAGTGCAAAAAAAAGGAAACCAGAAGACATGGTTGAATGTGAGATGAATGCACGGACTGCCAGTAAAAAAGATATGCAGAACTTTACAGTGCCAATAAAAAAGAAGAAAGTGAAGGTAAGTAAACTAGTCCTTTCAAACATAATTTCATGGTACTGTTTCTGTTCCAGCACAGCACTTCCAGGCAGAAGAAGAGTTAACAGCTTTTAATCCCAGTGTCTAGCTAAATGGCCCAGAGTGGGAAACATCACAATGTATTCTGTAATATGCCTTTTCTTGAGCTCACATTGGCATTCCTAAACTAATGGAAACGGTTCCTTCATTTTTTACTTGTCACAACTTTTCAGAAGAAATCTTTGGCTGAGGAGACATCTCCCCATCTTTAGAGCTTAATGAATCTTTAGGATCACAGTTGCTTGCTTAACCAATGTTTGCAGGCTAGCCTGTATTGGCCTGCTGTAGTTGTAAGAGACTGCAGGTATTGCAACCTTTATGATTATTATTTTAATAGCTATGAAGTTTTGGTACACTTACCAGTTGACCATTTAAGCCTATGTCCACTGTTGGACTACATATACTTATATATAGACTTGAGAAGTAAACAAAATTAGATTGGGGAAGAATCTCAATAGGTGTTGATGCAGAACATTTAAATGCTACGGGTCAGGGATGGTTTGTTCCAAAGGTTTATTTTGCCTTTTGGGCAGGACGAGACGTGATCCTGGTTTTTAATTTATTTAATGCCCAAAAAGTGGTGGGTGGAAAGCAGCCCAATACTGTAAGTGTAGGCGTACATAAGCCCAAAGAACTGTACAAGCTACTTTTGAAAAAGACAGGAGATCCCACTCATGGTTACAGTATTGGTTTTTACAGATAAAGATGTTTTTGTGTTGAGTTCTGTGGAACTAAGCAATTTTTAAGCACCTAGATCTTGTTTGCCTAAATGGTTGTGTTTTTTTCCTTTTTCAGCAGAAGAAGCTACCAATCGCATTTCCTGCTGGAATGGATGTGGATAAATTTTTGTTATCTTTGCATTATGATGAATAAAAACTGAACTGTTCATTGGTCTTTTGCAACTTTGAGGTGAAATAACAAAATGGGAGTGCAGTTGATGCATCCAAGTGTCACTGCGTATTTAAAAAGGCACGCTGGTTCTGAAGAAAGTTGCTAGCTTATAAATAACTTGGCAGATCAACTTCTGAGAAAGCACTTAATGTACAACCAGTTAAGTTTGCACAGTTATACTTGTGGGGATAATGTAAATATTGTACAGCTGTTGGAGTTGTAAAACAACAAGGTACTACTTTTTTTAACACTGGGGGTTGGATGTGTTTTGCAAAATGTGCACATTAACTGCTTAGACATTTTCATAGTCATACATTGTTGAGCCAAGTTACGCTTAGAAGCAGGTTCTGTTGAATTGTGGAACTTGCTTTCCAGTCAATGTGCTTGGGGTTATAGCCCAGGACAGATAGCTGGCTCAAGTTGGAAAACATAAGGTAATGGTTAGCCAAGTCTTAAATTGTATAGCTAGCTAACTTCTAACGATAACAATTCAGCTTGTCTTACAGTGGGAATTTCCCCAACCTGGTTCCCTTGTGCCTGTCTTTCCCTCTAGTTGCAAATCTGTTACAATAAAGGCTTTTTCAACTTTCTTACTATATTTACAAATATTAAGAGGCAATTTATTTTTATTCCATTTAACTTTAAAATACACCTGTAAATGACACTAACCCAGTGTGGGGTGTTTTCGAACATTTCCTAAAAGTTGTTGTATTTAACACACGCCCTTAATAAGAGTTCCTCTTCCCAAAGAGATGTTTGAAACATGACTGCCATTAATTGGGATTTTTAACCCAAGCCGTTGACCATGGAGGAGGGGGGAATCTGTTGTCTCCTTTATCTGGTACAGCTCCTCAGGACGACAGGATTTACCTAAAAGGATACCCTATACAACCAACTGCTCTGTTGTAGTGTGGTGCTAAAGTTCAACCACAGTGTTATCAGTTGTGAGAGAGCAGATTACTCACACTAGGGTAGCTTGGGAATCCCTGCAATGTATCTTTGTTCAATTTTTATATTTTCAGCTGCTTTTTAATGTGGAAGCAAATGATCACAGTTGCTCAAGGTATGCAGCTCTGGCTATTTTTTAGAGAAACTTTATATCAGTCAAGAAAAGTTTGGGAGGTAGTACCTTGCCGGTATATCACTTTTACACACACACTTTCCTCAGTTTTTATGAGGTTCCTGAGCAATCCTTTGTAAAGGTGTAATAGCAAATGTTAGGTGCAACATCCAGTTGTGTCCACTTGCTCGTGCAACAGGATTTAGTTTATCTTGTCCCCCAACCCTTTGCAGATTTGGAAGGATATGCAAACAACTGTTCATGCTATGCTGGATCGCACCCCAGCTTTTGAAAGTCACTTCAAGTATACTTTCTAAATTGTCAATTTAACCCGAGGTACTATTTCTGGGTTAGCGGAGTCTGTAACCTGAAGTGTATGTAACCTGAGGTACCACTGTATCAGCTTTTGAATACAGCAACCCAGTCCTCACATGCCATTAAGAGCCCTCTGTGAATTCATATTAGAGCTATGCTGGGAGAAACCACACCAGAGAGATAGCACACTATAGCAGGGGTAGGTAACTTTCAGCCGATGGGCATAGTTACAGCTGCTAGGCTATATCCACCTGGCAATATATATGGTAGGGGGCAGGTAAAGGAGGGGCTTGGACAAGGGCTGTGCAGGCACTGTCTTATCCAAGCCAAAAGACCAAAAAAAAGTCTTTCATAACTTAGAGGACTGTACGTTCCTTAGGGCACGAGGAAATAGACTGAATGCCAAGGTAAGTTTGAGCAGGGATTTGTGACAGCCATTTTTAAAAATAAACTATAAAACATAATGAAACTTCCACAGTAGCCAGCCACTATACTTAGTCTTTATTGTCTTTGATTGAAGTTTAACCCACATTTTATAGTCCCTATGGTATAAAAAAAACCACTTGCACTGGAGGTATAGTAAAAAAAAAAATTAGTTGTGTTTTTTTAAAAACAATGATAGACTGAGCTTTGGGGGGGGGTCTGCGCTGCAATTCCATAAATAGTTGTAACAGCCATTTGACAGTTGAGCCTTAAGGCTTGACATCAGAGTCTATAGTTTCTGGATTAGTATCGCAGATGCGCCGCCACCTCCATTACAGATTCCAGCAAGGCCATACTCTCCTTGCTTCAATGCATGAGCCATGTGAACAACAATTCTTGCTCCAGACATCCTAAAACAGAAAAAGCACCCTAGTTAAGTTTTGAGTTGTATAGATTGGCAAAAAGGTTAGCGCTTGACCTTATAAATCAGCTTTTTCAGCCTGTGCCTTAGAATCAGCATAGTGCTAAATAATATCTAGCTGAAGCATAAGACAGTAGCACTAGAGGTAAGTCATTTGTGACAGACCTGTCTCACACATGTGCTAATCTATGACAACCATGCACCACTGAGCATCCTGGAGGGTGAGTTAGGATGGAACTATGCCAAGAGGGAAGGGAGCCAAGAGATGTGGGAAAAGAGGACGTGGGAATGGAATCAATAGGGAAGAAGTATCCAAAATAAACTTTTCTATGTGTCTGTCTAATACAGAACTGGCCAGCTTAGCAACAACTCTTCATTGTCTTAGGTCTTTCCCAGCCGCCCTGTTCCCAACCTAGATGCACTGATCTGTGGTCCCAAGACTCGGATACAACTTTTTCAGTTATCATGGTTGAGATTTTCCAATCTATTGTGTCTACTGCATCAATTGATTAAGACACTACCAAACACAATAGACATTAAGGAGGGTGTTGATGGTTTGAAGTTGGATTTTTTACAGGACTAATACTTCCTCTGCACCATTACGTAATCTTATTTCCTAGTGGATTATGAAACAGGGTACTTAGAATATTGCAAACTATTCATAATTTTAGTTTAAATAAGAGTAGGCATTTTTAAAAGTACCAAGACCAAGCACTTAAAATGCACCATGTCAAATGCTGTTTCAAGGGGCATTTACTTAAGTAAATTTACACATCAGAACTAGGAATGCTTTCTGCCTTCTTACATTTAAATACTGTTACCAAAGCTATAATAACTATTTGCCTTTGCTGTGGAGGGGAGGGTCAGATACAAATTTCTTCTTGTTGTGCAAACAAATGTATTACTTCACTTACCCAATTGGATGTCCCAAAGAGACTGCTCCTCCATGAATGTTCACCTTTTGCGGATCAACATCTAGCATTTTAATGTTGGCTAGGACAACAACACTGAATGCTTCATTAATTTCCCACATTTTAATATCTTCCTTTTTTAGACCTGTCTGATTAAGTATCTGGAAAAAGAAACACATAGATAAAAGGTAATATATATCACCAACAGGGTCTGAGGGTTCTTGCCCTTCTGTTTTAATTCGAGATATAAAATGGGTCACTGGCACAATTGGGACTGTAGTTCAAGAGACATCCAAACATTAAGATAAACATTTCAACTGACTTGAAGCAACAAGTCATGTGAAAAAAAATTCTAACAATTACCACTGCCTACAGCAGTCAGGATTCAAGCAAATACTTTCTCTAGAAAAAAATAAGCCCAGTCCCTGTATTACGAAATCCATGTGTACCAGTTTCTGATCAAATCTAAGGTCTGAGATACTTCAGAATTCAATATTAACAAACTAAGTACTTCAGTGTTTCACAATGCTAAAATACCAGCATTAACATAAGAGTGAAATGTAGATTTCAAGCAGTAAAGCAATTGGAGTAACACACCTATTTAATTGTCCACTTAAATTACTTACAGTGCTGCTGAGAAATGTCATTAACATTTACGTTTTACTCGAATAAATATATTTTGCTTTTCAGGTCAATTTTTAAAAACCACTTTGAACACCAAAAAGGAAAATAAAGGTACAAAGGCCAACAGAAACAAAAAAACCTAGTGAGAAGATTCAGAGACAAGTTGCATTATGGTTTTGGCAGAAGCTTTCTAAGAAACCTTCCATGTTTGATTGGCATTAAGTCTTATTATCTAATATTCTGAATACTTCTGAAGTATAAGTATTACTGTCTGACGTACTGTGATAAATATGAGAGAGCCTGCCTCGAGGAAAATTTTAATTTGAAGGTAGGGGAATGCTATAAAATGATTACCTTAGGAACTGCATGTGCTGGTGCAATTGGAAAGTCAATAGGATCAACAGCAGCATCTGCAAAACCTGCAAAAGAGCAAATGTGAAGCAGAAGGGGAAAATGTCATTATTGGTATACACAGCAGCATTTAGAATACCTTCAATAGATGCTTACAGTTTCTCTGGCAAAATTCTCGATATTATTGTTTTTAAAAGATGTAAGCATGGCAGTGTTAGAGGAACAGCTGAGACATCCCAAAGGCCCCTGAATTCTCTCGAGTTTGGCAAATTGTCAAGCTATGACTGCACCATTCAGTTAAAAAGCAGTCCTTTCAACCTAACCCGTTGATAAAAGGCAAAGTAAAACAAAGTCGGGGACGCGGGTGGCGCTGTGGGTTAAACCACAGAGCCTAGGGCTTGCCGATCAGAAGGTCGGCGGTTCGAATCCCCGCGACAGGGTGAGCTCCCGGTGCTCGGTCCCAGCTCCTGCCAACCTCGCAGTTTGAAAGCACGTCAAAGTACAAGTAGATAAATAGGTACCGCTGCAGCAGGAAGGTAAACGGCTTTTCTGTGTGCTGCTCTGGTTCGCCAGAGGTGGCTTAGTCATGCTGGCCACACGACCCGGAAGCTGTATGCAGGCTCCCTCAGCCAATAAAGTGAGATGAGGGCCCCAGAGTCGGTCACGACTGGACCTAATGGTCAGGGGTCCCCTTACCTTACCTAAAACAAAGTCAGTCTAACCCATTATCTGTCAGGATCAAGCATTTCTCAACATTTCACTAGAAAGTCAAGAAGATTCTTACCTACTATTTTAGCCAATGGTTTAGCATTCAGCCTTTTGGCTGCTTCTGAAGTCATCAATACTAATGCAGCTGCTCCATCATTCAGTGTACTGGCATTGGCAGCAGTTACTGTTCCTGAAAGAGGCGGCAATGTGAATATAGTGCATTCCTCAGTAACATCCTAAATTCCAGCCTATGTCAATCCATATTCAAAACACTGGCCACACAACATACAGCAATTCAAATTCAACAAGGCTGGCATTATATCAAAACACACATCCATATAAACCATTTCACTGAAGGAAATGCAGGTATGTTTAAAAAAATGCAATCTGGCCAGCTTTTACTACATTAAAAACCAGGCATCACTTTTTCCGAGCTTACCATTTTCTTTCTGAAAAACGGCCTTCAGTTTTGGAACTTTACTGAAATCAACACGCTTGTACTCCTCGTCTTCTTTAATCTCTGTGTCTGGTTTCCCTAAAATAAGACTTTAATTAGTTAAACAATTTCAGACTTCTTTGTGGCTGGACAGCTGGCACTCCCTAATTTCACAAGGAACAGCAGAACATGCAAAGGCTGCAGTTAAGCATGCTTCAAATCATTGTCTCATTTCTTGCTCCATCACTGCCCTAAGCCTCCTGTGAAAGGGAGGAAAGGCAGATAGGCTTCCCAGGAGGCCACAAAACCTTTTTTTTGGGGGGGGGGAACGACACAGAAAGAAAACTCAAACCTCAGCTTGGAAGGTCAAAAAACACAAAAAGCTTAATATGGGAATAGGGGTGTAAACAGAAATGGTCTCTATTTCAGCAAAAAGAAACAAAATATGTTCAGTCTTCATTTCATAGACAAGTTATGTTTGCCAGAATGCGTACAACATTTTATACCATTTCAGTACATAGTTTATCATAAAACAGAAGGTAGGGAGGTATTATATATGAAATTATACTACCTTTCTGAGAAATAGTAACTGGGACAATTTCATTTGCAAAAACTCCCGACTCCCAACCTTCCTTGCTTTTGGTGTAAGATTTTATGGCATAGGCATCTTGATCTTCCCGTGATATAGTAAACTTCTTTGCAGTATTCTCTGCGCAATTACCCTGGGGAGGCAGACAGGAAATCACTGAAAGACATTTTAAAAACTGGACAGGTTTGTGTAGATCAGCTGTGCTATCGCCAAAATCCCCACTTTTGAGTTTAATGGACTCGAATATGAATTAATAAATTTAAATCAACTGAAATGAAACTGCCCATTTCGTTTGTGACTGTTAGACATTGGGAACAAACAAAAAAAAAAAACCCATGCAACTCACAGCTTCTTGGTTTGTTTGCTGCCTGAAACAAGCTGTGCTAGCTTTTCCAATGAAACAGCATGAAGCAAGGCCGTTTGTGGTTTCTGAGTGTTAAGCAAAGGTCATGGGATAACTAGGGATGGGGGAGAAATTTGATTCTATTCACATTTAAAGGTGAACCTACCATTGCGCTAAATGGAACTTACTTCCAAGTAGGGCTGCAGCCTAAGTGACATAACTGTTCAGGGCTGCAGCCTTAGGAAACTGATCAAATCATTTTGCATGTACATGTGGGGATTCCTGTATCATCCTGTTTTCCCCGACTTCTCACTCTGAATGCAAATGAAACACCAGAGATGGACCAGATCATCTCTTAATTTACTAAGACTGCCAGCCTGAAGACACCACAGTGCCAGTCACACTAAATTCAACAGCATTGCTGATATCTTAGGCATAAGATTTTGGTATGTATTCACAATTTCTGAATCCCATTAGATTCAGTAGTGTCATCTCCAGACTATTGGTAGTTTGCAAAAGGGTATTCAACTGCTTACCGGGAAGTTTAGGTTTGCACAACTGAAGTGGATTAAATCTGCTTAAATCTTTTTTTTAAGAAAGAAATAGACCTGAATGAATTTATTATTTCGGTCACAGACTAGTTCCAGTCCACATACAATATCAAGGAAGTCATAAAACAGATAGGGATACATTTGAATTTGCAATTAGGTATAACAGGGACAATACAGTTACAGCAACAGTTAAAATATATATAAATTAAAACTTAGTCACTAAAATATAACCTCAAATTATCATTTAAGGCCTTAATCATTATGATAGCACAGTTTGTTCCCTACGTTTTATGGCAATCACACAGAATTTGGCTACCCTTAATGTGATCTCAGGATTCCTGTCCTCTACCAGGGATTTTAGATATTGAAGTTCGGGTTCATTTGGAGATTTTTGCATAGCAGGGGTAATACCGTATTTTTCGCTCTATAAGACGCACCAGACCACAAGACGCACCTAGTTTTTGGAGGAGGAAAACAAGAAAAAAAATATTCTGAATCCCAGAAGCCAGAACAACAAGAGGGATCGCTGCGCAGTGAAAGCAGCAATCCCTCTTGCTGTCCTGGCTTCTGGGATAGCTGTGCAGCCTGCATTCGCTCCATAAGACGCACACACATTTCCCCTTACTTTTTAGGAGGGAAAAGGTGAGTCCTATAGAGCAAAAAATACGGTATATACTGAGCGTATTTCCCCGTAGAAATGGCAGTGTAACAAGGCATGAGATGGACTCAAGTAAGTTTGAAACAGGAATGTAGTCCTGATTTCCCAACAGTTAGCTGCTCATGGCTCAGGGTTCCCATACCTTATATTCAGCAACTGAACTACGTAAGCAGACTTTTATCTGTGTGTAATTTTTACCACAAACAGTCACAGAATGTTTAAAGCTGTTAACACTAGTTGTTATCAAATACTAATTTGGGGGTGGGGTGGGTGGACTTGGAAAAAACCCTCTAGATTCCTCTCTGGGTCAAAGTTCTCAACCTTTCAGATGACCTTCACAAGATTGTAAACTCTGGCCAGAATCCTATGGTCTGTATGGACTAGATCAGCTTGTACAGTCAGCGTTTTGTCCAGAATCTCCTAGCAACAGCTTCTAGCTGATCAAAAGCATTTCTCCTATTTGAGTTTTTTTAAGTTTTGCCCAAGATGGTTGAGCAAAAATAAATTGGACGCTTCGGAGCCAATTCTGAAAAAAAAATGGCTTGTTAACACTGTAAGCATGGGCTGCCATACATCTGGATTTTCCAGGACATTTCGCCAAAAAATTCTATGAATGATACCCTAATATTGTGCAATTGCACACACAGTGTTTTCAGTTCCTTTCCTTTCTCAGTTGCAGATTTTTATTTTGCATATCCATAAGTTCACTATCCAGGGACAGATGGTTCTTAAACAAATAAAAGATCTCCTGGATTGGCCATTGCATTGGTGACAGGGGTAGCTCCTAAACTCAACAATTGTAGGCTTTTGATCAGGAAAGTATCTGAACATCCTATTTGCCAAGAGAACTTTTAAAAACAACAACAGAACAACAAAAATAGGCTGCCACGAAACTTGCAAGACATTAAAAGCTGTATTTACCATGTGAATTTTGTTGTAAACATCTGTCAAGCCATCTTTTACAATCAAATCTTCAAGCTTTACTCCTCCATAAGGCGTTGCTCCTCTGACCATTGTGTAGGGTACATTAGACATGCTCTCCATTCCACCAGCTACCATCACATCCTGTTTCAACAAATTATATACAGCTTTTTCCAACTTACAAGGAGGATGAAAACAAAATGCTGAACAGTGCAATACTATTGTCCCTGGAAAGGCCTAGGATACAGCAGATTTCCCCCTCTCTCAACAGAATCTCCATTCTCCCAGAATGCCCCCCCCAAAATAAGGGGGGAATATGCCAGCCCCTTATTTTCCTGCCCACTATGACCTCTGCAAGAAAAATAAAAACCCTGAAAAAGGTTCCTTCATCTTTCACTTTCTCTCCCACACCTTTGAATTGCTTGGTTCAGATCTAAAACGATGTTTTGAGTCTCCCATTAGGCAAAAAGTTGCAATGCAATTCGTCATACAATCAAAGGGAAACCTGTTGCCCTTCAAATATTGTTGGACTACAACTCCCATCATTCCTGACCACTGGCCATGCTGCCTGGGCTAATGGGAATTTTAGTCCAACATAATCTGGAGGGCCATGGAGTCTCCTTTCCTTTGAGGTATGTACATTTATATGTGTACACACACACACACACACACACACACACACACACACACAAGCAGTGTATAAATTTTATTAAATAAATAAATGAAATAATTTCTAAAAATCCTCAGCTAATCACAGTTATTAATTTTCCACCCACTGATTATGCTAATCTTCATGTTGCATATCCTTTTGATGTCCCAAGAAAATTGTGTAGATTAATATAAAATGTTAATAGTTTGGTTGGCCCCCATCTGTATTGGGAGAGAATGCAAGAGTGTGCCTTCGGGGGTGAAGTCAAACTGTTGGAAAGTTACAGGAAATAACATAGACAAGTCAGATACTGAAGCCATTACCAGCACAATAATCGAAGCAGTGTGGGTTGATAAGGTTGGCAAGAAATCTCTCTGGCACACTTCCTTTTTAAAGGAAGAAGATCTTGCAAGAACAGAAGCTCTCAGAGGCACACAGAAGAATTCCAGCAAATTTGCTCTTATAAACAGTTGCTATTGCTATTGGCCTATTTAAGAGATTATACATTTCCACATATTTACAAGACTTCTGAATATACTGACTCTCCTACCTGGCTCCCACATGCCAGACTCTGTGCTGCCAGCATAATAGATTTCATTCCAGAGGCACAAACTTTGTTGACAGTCGTGCAAGGAGTAGAAACTGGTAAACCTGAGCCAAATTAAGATAAAAATAAACTACTAAGAATTTTCAGCCAACTGCATATGTGGAATATACCAAGTTGCTTTAATCGATTAAAAAGGAACTCATGCCAAAGAATCCCACTGACTTTCCTGATACCATGTGTTTTTCAAACCAGTAGTGTCCTCTCATACTAGTCTCAGTTCTATAAAGATGAAAGACCATTCCTGACATCTCCAGTAGTCCCTTCTATTCGTAACATTTTATCTTTGGGATTCAATCCTTTGACTTCACCACATCAGAAAACTAGCAACATGTTATTAGGCAACATATTACCTCCCCACCACCATATATGCTAAGGACATTAACTGACGTGAAAGTACAGAAGGAGAAAAAGAGGAAAAGGTAACTCAAAAAATGTTCCACTTCTGATTATGGCAGTTTGAAGAAAACAGAAGGCCGATTCAGATTAAAATTCAAACTCAGATTAATTTGTTGAGTATTATGTGAATCGTACTCCTCAGTTATTTACCTCTGTTTTATAATTTAGCAGTGAATCTTACTCATTGAGGGTTGTATCCAATGTCATCTCAGTGCTAGTGAAAAAGGCTTCACCTTCTCCCCCACCGTAGCTCCCTACACACCCTCAGAATCTACTCTAGAGGTTTGGGAGACCTACTGAAGCTAATTCAGGGAGCTCTGAAGGAGATGCGGGTGTGGGGAGAAGAAGTCCCACTGCATGAAAGGAAATCTACTCATGCATTGTTGGATTTACAACTTGTGCCCTAAGAAGTCATGAGCCATAAAACAGTTTTGGTACCTGCACCAAGGGTTGCTTGTCTTGCAGGAGCTTGTCCTTGTCCAGCCTGAATAACATTGCCCATGTAGACTTCTTTCACTTCTTGTGCAGGGATACCTAATGGCAAAAATCAGAGAAGGCATTTTCCAAGCATAAAGTGATAATATGCTCATAGAATGAGAGAGAAAAGAAACATCTGGGTAAGAATGAAATAGATGCTGAAGCTGCCACTTAACTTTTGTTTATGGACAAAACTGAGGAGCGAAGTTAAGTCCTTAAAAAGCTCATCTAGATTGCAGCTCTCGCTGCTTTAGCTCAGAACCTCTACGCAAAACCACTTGTAAAGTGGTGCAGAGCAGGTACTTCTTTGCAAGCTTAGCACAATGTTTGCTGTACAAATTTGGTCATCATTGCTTTAGTCCCTGGGTTATTCACTTGAATGCAAACGGCCAAAACTGAAAGTGGGACAGGTTTGCAATAAATCATCCTTGAACCACGTCAGAACTGAGAATAAACCAGGGGAGAGGGTACTAGAGTGATGACAGTGGAGGACTAAGAATTGCTCAAAAGCAGACCGAGTGTGACATGCTTTAAAAAGGATGACATACTTTACAAATACACCTTGGGCACATGCATAATTGATTTCTTTAAAGAACAGCATGAATACTTAGTGGCTAACTTGTCCCAGCATAATAGCAAAGTGGCAATGGGTGATTACAACAAACACTAGCTGCCATCCCCATCCCACCCTGTTCCACAAAGCCTTCTGAACAGAGTCCAGACTTACCTGCTCTTTCAATTGCGCCTTTAATTGCAATGGAACCAAGTTTAGTGGCTGGCTGTGATGAAAGGGATCCTTGGAAAGAGCCAATGGGTGTCCGGACAGCACTTACAATTACTACTTCCTAACAAACAAAACCATTGCAACGATTATGACAGTTACCCACAGAAAGGTATATTCTCAAGTCTTAAGTTCTGTTTTAATTAGGAAGATTAGACTTAGCAGTTATCAAAGTAAGTGTATGCTCCAGAAACATCTGGTTATGCCTGTATGATGGGTTGTGTAGTGGTTAGAGTATCAGACTAGGACCTGGGAGACTAGTCCCCTTAACCATGAAACTTGATGGGTGAACTTGGGTCACAGTCTCTCAGCCTAACCTACTCCACAGGGTTATTGCAAGGATGAAACTGATGGAGAACCACCTTGAACTCATTGGAGGAAAGCTAGGATATAAATGTAAAAATAAATAAGTTGATTGGTATGATAATATGTTGTTATATCTTAGCAAGAAGGCTGTACAACTGCTGATAATTAAAGGAAATAAGACATACAGATGGGAGAACTTCCTACTTATTCTTTTTTTGCCAGGGAGTGAGTAGGTGGATCAGACAGCATGATAATATAAATAATATTATCTAGTGGCTGAAAAACATTGAGAGGGGGAAACAACATTGCAAGTTTTGTAACAACCCACGTAGGCCAAATTATAGGCAGTCTACTTAGACAATTTCAAAAGAGAACACAAGTTATTTGCAGCAGTGAGACAACAAAATTCTATGGCGTCCTAGAATCTATTTATTATGGCACACACTTTGACAACAACTACTTTTTGGATAGGAACCCACTTTATCAGATGCGTGCAGCAAGGTAACCTTTTCAAGTATGCACATAGATAGGCATGTATCATTCTTAGGGCCAGACTAGATAGGATGCTTTTTAGACTAGATAGGATGCACTGCTTTTTAATTCCTAATTGAAGTGAGGAATGGTAGAGTGTTTTGTCAGGCTGTGGTGTGCAGCAAATCCCCTTAGCCTCTAGGCCAGAGCTTTCCAAACTATATGTAGAGACACATGATTAGTGGGCTGCAGTGTGTAGGTGTGTCGCGCGAATGCTGGGAAGGGGTTGATTTAACCTCTGGATTGCTAGTAAAACTGAATTACTGTGTTGTGAAATGATGCATGTCTAAAAAGTGTGTCACCAACATGAAGTTCGGAAAACTCTGCCCTAGGCTGTGGTCCCAGTGAAAATTCTCCTCCCTTGGCCACTATCAGCCCCATCAGGAGAGCTTACATTGGTACCAATAGTTCTTCCTAAAACAAAAATGTATCTATGTGGGCAAGGCATCCTTTGTCAGGAGCACAGCAGATGAGGAACAAGGTTAGAAAACCCTGCACACCATAGTCCTGGCAAAAATCCCCCCTCCCCTAATATGTTTCATTTGCAATTTAAAACCAAAGGCACATCAGGAAGTGATATGTTTGGCCTCACACCTACTCTGGCCCTTAATCCACTTAATATATCTCAACTCGCTGTTTGAAAGAACATGGTCTTGTAGAGCTGGGCAAAGTATGGTATTGCCATTGCAAGTACCTGAAGTCCTGTTACAATTGATACTTACATTTAAGCCACGTTGTGATGAGTAGCCTCTGCTTGCATAAGTTAACATCTGAAAAAAGAGTTTATTTTTCAGTAAGTGCAAAAACATCTGGTTTAGTGATTCAAAAATATTGTGTTTTTCCATTTAACATATTTTAAACAAGCTACTTAATTACACTTGTTTGTTTTTCTTAATACTTTGAAGCTTTAGAATTACTCTTATTCTTATCAGCAGCAGCAGCAGCAGCATTTGCTACTCTTTGAAATACTTCCAGAAGTGAATAGGCAGAAAAGGGCAACAACTGTCATAACTTTGCGAAGAATTTTCAAGCAATATACCTTTACAAAAATCCTGATGCTTAAAATAACTGTCAGTTAAACAATATTGCAATATTGTACAATCCTATTGCAAAACAAGTCAGTGATGCTGAGCTATGTTATTTGGTAATTTACCCTTTTGATCCTATAACCTTTAGCCCATTTAGGTTAACAAACTCTGACAGACACACTGAGCAGTTTTTAATCTCTGTTTTAGCCTCTCTGTTTAGATAACTTTTGCCACAGTAAGCAGTCGCACATAAAGATGAGGATCCAAGTTTATTGTTTTTAGCAGCTTCCATGTGCGCTCCAGAGGAGTGCTGTTTTAAAAGGGGCCATTGCTCCTTGATACAAACATAACTTATGAATGATATTAGATGCATAAACACCATGAGACAACCACCACAGTAGCAGATTTTGAGCATCATTGAGGACAGCAGAATGGAGGGGAGATTTTATCCAAAAAAGGCAAACTCCACCAGGAGGTTCTCCTGTAGATGACCCTTTACACAGGAGATCTTCTGATGGACCATACCTCCTCATGTTCATTTGCAGAAAGAGGAAAGCAGATCTGCTGATTGGCATTTCTGTCTCAAGCAACAAAGTATATTGGGCTGTCTCTGCTCCAGAGAGCTCCTTTACCTTTAAGAGGGGAACCACGGAGCAAGAATTAGGCCCTGCCTACAGATACAGTAGCATGTAAATTGCAGGTCTAGCTTCAGATTATTGGGGGTGCTGGGCAGGCTGTCTTCCGTGGGCCTCCCATCTCCAGCACCTGTGGCCACTTGAGTCCCCAGACATTAGCTTCTGCCTTCCACAAGGGAATTTGCAGAGTCTGCTTTTGCAAGGACTGGAGATGTTGTTGTTTAGTCGTTTAGTTGTGTCCGATTCTTCATGACCCCATGGACCAGAGCACGCCAGGCATTCCTGTCTTTCACTGCCTCCCGCAGTTTGGTCAAACTCGTGCTGGTAGTTTCGAGAACACTGTCCAACCATCTCGTCCTCTGTCGTCCCCTTCTCCTTGTGCCCTCCATCTTTCCCAACATCAGGGTCTTTTCCAGGGAGTCTTCTCTTCTCGTGAGGTGGCCAAAGGATTGGAGCCTCAGCTTCAGGACTGGAAGTGGGCCCTGGCAAATGTCCATGACTCTAGGTGCCAATGCCACCACAGAATAAAACCCTATTTTTTTTTATTTAAAATGCAACAGTTAACAACATTAAAGATTTAAAGCAGGCAGTCACAGGGGAAGTAGACGGGAAAGTGATGTGACCTTGCAGCAACTTGATCCACACTACACTCTGTGTTTTGTGTGTGTGTGTGTGTGTTAGAATTCAAAGGTAGCAAGAGTTTGGGAGTGCAGTAGTATCTTGGGTTAAGTACTTAATTCGTTCCGGAGGTCCGTACTTAACCTCAAACTGTTCTTAACCTGAAGCACAACTTTAGCTAATGGGGCCTCCTGCTGCTGCCACGCCGCCAGAGCACAATTTCTGTTCTCATCCTGAAGCAAAGTTCTTAACCCGAGGTACTATTTCTGGGTTAGCGGAGTCTGTAACCTGAAGCGTATGTAACCCGAGGTACCTCTGTATACCACTTAAGTATAGGAGAAGACAATCACCTTTGGAACATTATGCACAGAGAGACATCCTTAAAAAACATTTTTTTGAAAAAAGGGCAGCAAAACTCGGGGGAGGCCACAGCAATTAAGATTAGCGTTTCTCAAGAAAGATTTATTAAGAGAGAAAAAATACAGGAACACGGGTCTCCTCGGCTCGCTCCAGGCAAGCAAGACTCTGCCTCCTCAGGTGGGCTCGTCCTGGCGCATGCGCGCAGGCCCGGCCTAAGAGGCACGCGGCGCTGACGCAGGAAAGGCCGAAGGGAGGCGGGGCTCGCCGCTTAGCCCGCTGCGCCTCAGGGGGGCTCAGCCGTCCCTGAGGGGAAGCGCGGAGGACGAAGGAAGGCGGCCGGGTCGTCCGTCAGGGGAAAGCGGGACTTCCACAACCAAACCCGGCGCCCCCTCCCCGGCCTAGTTTTTTTCCTCCTCACCCGAAGCGTCTTCGGCACCTGCCGCCCGCCCAACATCTTCGCTCTCGCGCCGGCCTCCGCAGCACCAGCAGCCGCCCTTAGAACCCCTTCAGCTGCCTCAAGCAACGGACCTCCGAGGCAGCGCGAGAGCCGCCGCCGTCACCTTCAGAAGGGCACGCCCACCCCTTGACCTAGCCAATAGGAACCCAAGGGCGGACCCGCCGTTTAATCCCCTGCCCTCGATTCTGTGCCTCCGGTCTGAGGAGGGGAGGGCGCGTCAAAATTGGGAGAAATCCTATTGGAGCCTGAAGAGGAGCGGGCGGAGCTATTAGAGAGCAGTTCTATTGGCGAGGGAGGGGGCGTGGGAATTAATAAGCGGCGCTCATTGGACAAGGGGTAGAGGTTGGGGAAAGGGCAAGGAAGAGACACACTATCCTTGGTTGAGAGGGAGGGGCTTGGCAGTTCCCAGCATCGAAGTGAACCGCTTGAAGGACATTCCTTCCCTCAGAGAATTCTGGGCATTGTAGTTTGTTAAGGGCGCTGGGCATTGTAGGTCTGGGAAGTGTAGCAGTGCCCAGAATTCTTTGAGGGAAGGAATGTGCTTCGAATGTGCTTTGAACACAGTAGGCAGGGATGTAGACAGTTTAGGCTGGGATGGAATTACCGTAGGTAGAATTGGAAGGGACCACAAGGGTCATCTAGTCCAAACCCCTGCAACGCAGGAATCTTTTAGCCAACGTGGGACTCAAACTCACAACCCTGAAATTAGGAGTCTCGTGCTTCACCGACTGAGCTACCTTGCTTGAAGAGGAAGCATTCACTATTGCTCCCCACTGCCATAAATGTGCAATGGCAAACAAGTTCTCAGCACAACATGCACACAAAAGAGGCACCTAACGAGAAAAACAATTTACACAAAAGTGCACAAACCAAACATGAACTGGCAATAAAGTTGCTTTGCTTACCACTCTCTCCCCCAACTAGCCTGGTGAAGAGTTCTGGGGAACATGCAAGCTTGCACACTATTTTGTGACCTTTCTTTGGCCTAAGAAAGGTATTACTCTAATCTGGATTTTTACAATGTGACAGTAAACTGACTTTCAGCCTTATCAGTATACAAGCATACTCTGATGCCACGTGGAGTTTTAGGCATACTTATTTGGGACTTAAATCTCATTAAGTCAAACACACACATCTCACACTGCCTTGGATACCATCAAATTCCTGTTTTTTTTTTGGGGGGGGGAGATGTTCAGGAGTGTCAGAACCAGCCTTCTGGACCCAGCCTAAAAGCTTGGTTTTAAAAAACACTGAAATGATCTAATGTTTTATCGACATTTGCTGCAATACAGAAAACAGAAGATTACACTGTGGACTCCAATGAGTCATAGTACAGGTTGTAAAAGAAGATTAGGCAATAAAACCGAAGTTTTTGTAAACTCTTTTTATATGACAGGTGTGGAGCTATGTAAATGTTATTTTAGCAAACTTCCAAGAATATAATAATGGAACAGGATGAAACGACCACTTCATGCATAGTAAATCCCTTTATAAAAGTACTTGTGTGTCATATATGCATCATCATGTAAAAAATGGCTGTGATCCAAAGAGCTACTTGTTAAAATAAATTGCTTAAAGGATAAGCCATACATCAGTCTTCCAGGTCTTGGTAGACTACTGCCTCCAAGTGCCTCAACTACAGCTGGAATTTCTTTCATCTCTTAACATGAAAGGGAATTTTTTCTCAAATTTAAGTGTTCAGTCTACTAGTGCTGTACTGCTCAAATTTCTGAAAAAATAAAATGTCATTGAGTGTCACCAGATCAATTACAAATCCAAACTGTCCATGGTACTGAAGGCAATATAACCAAGTACCAAAGCAACATAAATTGAGTAAGCAGCACTAGATAGCAGTGGGAAAGTATTGATTTTTAATAGTAACTTGCAATCCAAATCAAGTTTAAAATTTCAATTACTTTGCACTACTGTAAGGTTTACACAGGGAGCTTGTACTAAAAAGGTAGTAAACTTCTGTTACATAGAAAGAACTGATAATTAGGTGCTGTGGATTTGGATCAGATTATATTGCTGCACTGCTGTCTGGCAAGGCAGTTCTACGTGCCATGCATATAGCCAATACAAATGCATATCCCTGTAATCATGCTCAGACAGATCCCTTGGAGCCTATGTGGTGTTAAATGCTGATGAAAACACTTATTCATACCTTGGACTAGCTTGGGTTTGGATTTCAAAACAACTGATGGTAATCTAGGAACCCTAATGGACTGTGTTTCATTCCCATTTTCAAAAGGTTCTGAAGATAACACCAAAAATATTTTGTGTTTTTTTATAATATTTTATATTACATTTTTATTTTGCAAGAAAATAAATTATACAACTTAAAAAATAAAATCCAAAAATTAAGCAGTACATCAAAATAGTTCAGCCGGACTGCCATACAAGAAGAAACTGCTACCAGTCAAAATTGTACAGCATTATTTCAGTATGTAGTGGCACACATTCAAAACTGTAAATAACCATATGTAGATGGATATTACAACCTAGGAAACTCATGTTTGCGCTGCACTCCAGGCTACATATAGTCTATTAAAACAGGAAAGCTCTTGTGTATTGTTTTATTTCACAAATATGACCTTGAATTTACAAAGATAGGATCCCAGCCAGTTCCATGAAAATAGAAAATAGTTTTGCGCTTAAGATACCAAATCTTTCCATGAAGCTATCAAATATTTCTCTCAGCTGCATTTTTAAAATTTGTACCTTTTACAACGGATACTGTAATGCAAATAAATCCAAAGTATTCAACTACCCGGGCCATGTTACTTTCTTTCCCCCCAAAAGGGGGAAGCCACCACTCAAACTTAAGTTAAACTACACTATGCTCCAACAACAGGTTTAAACAAATGAATAGGTAGAAAACAAGGGACACCAGTAGGATAAAGGGGGGAAATGGAAGACTTCAAAATTAAGTATGAACCTCATATGTTGTGACAAAAGTTTTTTTGTTTTTTTTAACAACTATGTTTAAAATCAATGCAACCTACATTATTTTTCACATCTAGAGTATTACTTAATACAAACCACAATGGCAGTGCTTGTGGCAACATACATTTTTCAGAAGCAGCACCTCTTTATGCTAGGTCTTTGGAGAAAAATATCCAAAGCTAAAAATCAAGCTTTCAAAGTGCCATGTTGCCATATTGCAATGACTGATGATTCAATTCATTCTTAGATTTGGATGTTTTCCTATTTCTGCATACATTTTTAAACCAGTTTGTTTCTCTTCCTGATAACCTTTAGCCTTAAGGGCATCTTGGTGAAAAGTGTCCTGACAAGAGAACGCTAAATGTGATTCTGCAGCTGTAAGGAAATTGCTGGTGTGATTTTTCAGATTCAGTGTTTTACATGACATCCTGATCCAATGTACACAAAAAGAAAAGAAAAAACTGAACAAAGTTATAGGCACATTGTCCGTTGTAATTCCCCTGGTCCTAGAAACATTTAGGTACCTTGTGTAAGAAATAACCGTAAGAGATGGAGACGCAAGGGCACTGTGAATTTTGCTGCTATGTAAATGAGCAAGACAGACTCTCACTGGCAAGATCCAAACAGCCTCATGTGATCCTTAAAGTGCTTCTGCATGTGGATGGGTTTTCTGGGGTTTTTTTTTCTTTTTCTTTTTGGCAATTTTCCTTTTGAAGTACAGGCCACTGAACTGCACTCTTTTTAGGGAGAACAAGGGGCTGATGGGAGGGCTTTATGAATAGTCACAAATGAAGTCCATGGTGGTCATTTACATCCTAGCCACTAATTCCAAAGTTCTAAAGTATTTGCACTGCTAGAAATAAAAAGAGGGAAAGGAGTATGTTTTGACAATCAGGCTGCTAGTGTCTGAACAATACCAAGAACTTAAATATGAAGTTTAAAGCTGGTTTTATATTTAATGTGTCATGCCTACTGCCTCCAATACAAATTAATGGGAAGCATACAATTCAAAAGCACTCTCATCAAAGTATTCAAGAAATATGTACAAATATTTTAAAAAATTACTTGCCCTTTTCTACCCATTTCCAAACCAACTTCCAAACCAAATGCAGTTTTAGAAACCCTGTAGCATGTAGACCTCTGGGGGATCAATTTTAGTTGTCTTTCCCTTTAACAAGGAGTGCTTGACAAGTATGTAAAACTTTTTTTAAAATTCTTGCCCATAAAATTTTGATGCTGAAATTCAACAATTCTATGTTAACTTGGAAGTTAACTTTATGTCAACTCTATGTTAATTTTTAAAAAATATTATCCTCTGATCCACAATAAAAATGCGCACATTAAGTGCAGAAAGTGAGGTTTTTAAATCACTGCCTGTTTTCATCTGCCACTTTTGCATTTCCATGCAAGTTTGTCAGTCTCTGCCATCCCAAAGCACATACCCCCACCCACACTGGTATGTTATTTATGATCACTTAAGGGCGCCAGTACCAACCTCTGTCTGTGGATGGGTAGACTTACCTTTGGAGCCCCATTATAGGTAACATACAGCAACCATTTCCAATTTCACTCTGCCTACACAGCTATCTGTTACTATTTCACTTTCCAACCTGTAAGCATAATCACTAACTTTAAGAAGGAAAGACAATTGCTAAAAGTTTAAAGGCCATTTTACAACATTGCTTTCCCCAGGCATAACGTTTAGGAATAGGGTATGGTAAAAGCTGAACTGGCATTAGGTAATTTCCCCCCACACACACACTAGTAATGCTGAGGCAGGAAGCTCGACTCTTCATGGACATTTTAAAGCAGCTGGAGACTTGGCAGTTAACTCTGAAAATAACTAGCATCTGCTGTGGTGTGGCAGTTCTCTTGCCCTCAGTAAAGCACTCTTTAGCCCTAAGCCTTAATGTGCATTGCTTTAAGTCTCTGGAAGATTTTTATCAAGGGAAGGGGGGGGGAATGAGCACATTCCATCAGCGGGGGCTCCTACTCACCGAAACAAATGGAGGCCGGGTGGCAGCATTTTTTTCTTTTTTGTAGAACAGTCAGATTTATGACAATCTGTCAGCATATATATGTGGAGCTGGTCTAGGAGGTCAAAGAATTATCTTATTCCACACAGTTGATCCCCCACCCCCCCGCCAGAGTAGAACTGTATTAAAAAAAATGTAACATTTAGAGATTTTCAAATAAATAAT